CTGGCTTTGGCTGGAGCTGGGTCTCTCGCCGCTGGGATTCTGCTCCGCCCGGAATCTGTACGAGCCGCCAGTGAACGGAGACTGTATCCCCCAAGCGCTGAGTACCCAGACCTCCGAAAGCACAACAGCTGCATGGCCAGTCACCTGACCCCAGCAGTCTATGCACGGCTCTGCGACAAGACCACACCCACTGGTTGGACTCTAGATCAGTGCATCCAGACTGGCGTGGACAACCCTGGCCACCCCTTCATCAAGACTGTGGGCATGGTGGCTGGAGATGAGTCCCTACGAGGTATTTGCTGAACTCTTTGACCCTGTGATCCAGGAGCGACCCAACGGATATGACCCCCTAACAATGAAGCACACCACTGACCTTGATGCCAGTAAAATCCGTTCCGGCTACTTTGATGAGAGGTACGTATTGTCCTCAAGAGTCAGAACTGGCCGAAGCATCAGAGGACTCAGTCTGCCTCCAGCCTGCACGCCGGCAGAGCGACGAGAGGTAGAACGTGTGGTGGTGGACGGACTGAGCGGCCTGAAGGGTGACCTGGCTGGACGATACTATCAGCTCGGTGAGATGACGGAGGCTGAGCAGCAACAGCTTATAGACGACCATTTTCTGTTTGATAAGCCTGTGTCCCCATTGTTGACCGCAGCAGGAATGGCTCGAGACTGGCCAGATGCCCGGGGAATCTGGCACAACAATGAGAAGAGTTTCTTGATCTGGGTGAACGAGGAGGACCACACACGGGTCATCTCTATGGAGAAAGGAGGCAACATGAAGAGAGTGTTTGAAAGATTCTGCCGGGGCCTCAAAGAGGTGGAGAGGCTGATCCAGGAACGAGGCTGGGAGTTCATGTGGAATGAACGTTTGGGATACATCCTGACCTGTCCATCTAACCTGGGCACTGGACTTCGGGCAGGAGTGCACATCAAACTGCCCCTGCTAAGCAAAGATAACCGTTTCCCAAAGATCTTGGAGAACTTAAGACTCCAAAAGCGCGGAACAGGAGGCGTGGACACCGCTGCCACAGGCAGTGTCTTTGGCATCTCTAATCTGGACCGACTTGGCAAGTCAGAGGTGGAGCTGGTGCAGCTGGTCATCGACGGAGTGAACTATTTGATTGACTGTGAACGGCGTCTGGAGAGAGGACAGGATATTCAGATCCCCGCACCTCTTGTCCATGGCAAACATTAACTCCCCATCCCCAGCAAATGAATCAAGCATATTTAATGGTGGCCTGTTCTACTTGCCCCTCACTCCCTGTCCTAGTAAAGATTCCATATTATGGAAAAAAAAAAAGAAAAGTAGTTCTTGCCAGTGGAGTGGCACTGGCTATAACAATTACACTTCAAGGCAGGTCCTGTGTACATGCATAGTGCCCAATGTGAAAATGGACTTCAGGATTTTTAGTGTACCTTTTCTTTTGTTTCGTTTAGTTACAGTATTTTCTTTATCCTATTTTGTTGTTGTTAGTTTGCTTGGATCTACACATTTTTTTTAAGAAAGAACATCAAGTTTGGGAGGTGGGGAGTGGGGAGGACCTGGGAGCATTTGAGAGAGAAAAAAAAATACAACAAGAGTATTATAGGAAAAACTAATTTTAAATAAAGTAATTAAAAAGAAAAAAAGAAGCTCATAGGATAACAATTTTAGGATACCACATTTCTGGGCCCCTCTTCTGTGTGGGTAAGCTTTATCTTCTTTCTCTTAAAATCTGATCTGTGAGTCTATAATACAACTCTGCAGAAATCATCTTCTCATTGCGTAGATAAGCAGGGGCTTGTGTATCTGATTCTGAAAATATTATCTAATGACCTAGGTTCTACCTACTCAACTCTTCCTTGTTTAGGTATCAAATCCCATCCTTGGACTTTCTAAAGCCCCCTTCGCCCACCTTACTTTCTAAGTCTCCCGTTACTAATTTGGTGTCTCCCGTGTGCCATAGCTTAATAAGTGACTATTAAAATTGCTTTGTGAGGAAAGACTATGTCTGCCTTCTTTATCAAGTTCCCATGCTATGCACACACTAGATAGCAAATACTGCATACTGAGCTAATCAAGATAAAATGGATTTGTGTTTTTTTTTTTTTTTGGTTTCTACAACTTCCTAAGGTGAGCAATTATTTATGCTCCTAAGATCTCTAACTAGAATGGCATTAACGCCTTTCTTTTTAAAAATTTTTTTGAAATCATAGTATAATTACAGCATTTCCCCTTCTTTCTCCTCCCCCCAAACACTCTTAGATACCCCTCCCATTTTACTTGAAATTAATAACTTCTTTTTCATTAATTGTTATTGTATACAAATATAGACATACATTTATATTCCTGAATATAATCTGTTGTCGTTACAATGTTACTTTTACCTATGTTTTCAGGTCTGACCATTTGTCAATGAAAAATAAAGTTGCTCTTCCCTAGGGGAGACCAACTCTTCTGCTTGTAGCTGTCCTCTGTTGTCTGTAGTTCTTTGTGTAGGGTTGAAACCTCATGGGTCTTTCTTTTCCTGTTAAGTCTGGCCTATCCACTTGGTGTCATCCTTGTTTAGTTCACCCAAACATGAGCTAAGCATTAGGAAGTCATGTTGTTAAAGATTTGTGAATGTATCTTCTGACAACACAAGGAGACTGTCTCAGTGCAAGGAGAATCTCCCTGGAACCTCTTGCTCTTGCAATCTTCTCTGTCACCTTTTCTGCAAGGTTCCCTGAGACTTAGGTATGGGAGTGTTTTGTAGATGTATCCACTGGGCCTGGGCTTCACCTTTCTATATTTCAATTGGTCATGGTTTCCTCAAGTGGTTTATGACATTTGTTGCAAAAAGGACAGAAAGTTTATTTTTTATAACTTCTTCTTAATACTAGAAAAAAGTCATGGTTGTGTAGTGACCATATATCATACCCCAATCGAT